GTGCCTTGTGCGTCCAATACTCCTGGACAGCCTAAGAGGGTGGTTGTTGGTGCGTTGTGCTGCCTCGATGCTAAGCCCCATCAGATGACGAGGTCTCAGTATTGGAGGTTGATGAAGCTCGCAGATGCAGCGTCAAGCATATTGGAAAGGACAGCAACAGAGTACGTCACTGATCCCAAGAACCATCCACTAGGACGCGTTGGGGTCCAACCTACCGCCACGACGAACAGAATCGCTGCTCTTGCGTGCTAAGGAGTCGAAATGCATTTGCATTATGCAGTACATTCCAACGTGAGAACATGAAAGGCGGTCTGCAGTGTTTGTTTTGGTGGTAGATTTTTTTTCTACAAATCCGGACCAACAGAACTTCTTAGGCATTTTTTTCTGTAGAAATATAAATTGATAAACCTGGTGAAAAGTTGATCTACACACTCATTAGATTCTCGACAGCAATATTCGACACTAATAAGAACTTAAAAAAAAAAAAAAGAAAAGCGCATGCCGACCTTCAGCTTAAAAATAGCTTTTGAATGCGACTGTAGATAAAGAAGATCTGTTTTTTTTTGTGAATGAAAGCTGTTGAAGTCCAAAGTGCACTTTCTCGGAGGGGGTCTTTCAGATTCCAAGTCAACAAGATTTGAATTCTATAAAAAGGAGAGCAGAGGAGCAATTCCTGCAGCCCGTTTAGGTTCCTAAATCCGTCGCTCAAAAGAATACATCTGAACGAGGAGGTATCCCTCCCTTTCAGATGTCAAGCGTTTTGGATTTTGAAAAAGGACACCAGTTTACGCATTCAAACGGCTGAGGGGATCACTCCAATTCTCGTAGCGTTTGATCCCTAAATTGCTGTCCTTTTTCATTTCCTAGTGCATAAGCTTTGTTTTTATTGTCTCGGGTGCGTGAAATCTAAGATGTATCATAAAATAGCGCCTGTACATGTAGTTTACCTTGTTTACGGTGACGACACTATTTTCCATACCACAAACCGAGTCAAACACGCCATGTGGACTGTAGTTGGAGGAAACCTGTCGATTAGCTCAGAGCAAGTCAAGTCCAGGTTCATCCTGCATCGTGTCGATGCATTTACATGGATTTACCCGATAGCTTTTGAAAAATGTAAAAATATCGAATAATTTGCATCTGCAACAAAGATTCCTGTTTTTGATTTGCAACGCTGTTTAGCCTACTGCGATAGTGAGCATTCAGTGCAACTCGTTTGTAGTCTCACATTACGACTTGTAAGTTACGAGCGAGCCCACCGTACCAGTCAGTTGTACATGGTTTCTGGACATAATGGAACACTATCGACACAATACGAAGCCCGGTATTTTGACGCCCTTTCTGGACATATAGAGGCATTGCGTTCCGGCGGCAATGGTCTCACCTATTTTTCCTTTATTGGATCCAAGTGCATATAAATTCAATCCTTAACGACGAAGCCATTCCCCAATTTTCCTCATCGAACGTAAGACACACCGAGATCGATATGCGGAACGTACGTCTGCAGCTGGACAAGCAAGTCGAAAGCTCGGCGCCATTTTCCGCAACTGCTACGTCGGAGCCAAGTTCCTGGAATGATGGAGAGCCTCCAGCTCCCCCACTGTCCTTGTCCATCTCGCTTCGAGGCTTAATGGCCGATGCTGAGGCTCTTCATGACGGAGTAGACTTTGCGAACTTCGTCCATATCGTCGAGTCTCCACAACTGCAAATGCAATGGAAGCGCGTTGAACAGTCTTCGTCCTTCACGCTGCTAAAACGCGATGACGAGGTACTAGCGCTGGCTCGACTGGATGCAAATATCGAGGAGGTGGCGAGCGTCTTAGGAGCTACAACTGATCAGCTACATTCTGCCACGATGCAGGGACTATACGATGACGCCTTCATCGCCGGTACCGTGGCCTACGTTGAACGTCCACACACCGACGAGAGTGACCAAGCGTTCCAACAATTGGCGGTCAAAACGTCGAACTTCGTGCACTCGAGGCTACTGGGCAAGAATGAGCAGTGGTGCTTTGGTGAGACCCTACGCAGCAAGCCGGAAGGCGACAGCTTCACGATCACGCAGAGTTCGCTGGAAACTGATCAGTCGCAGTCGCTACCAGCTCGACTGGCGTTGAAAGATACTAAGCGGCGTGTTGCTCAGCTTCGTGACGTTAGCACAGCGTATCTAGTGGAAAGGACGACCGACAATCAGCGTCTGCGTATCACCTTCCACGCTCTTTATAAGCCTGCCGGTACAACGGCGACGGATGGGCCAGTGGTGGCACGCAGAGCTGTTCGAGCTCGTCTGTTGCGTCTCGCACGCGGCACTTCGGAGCTCTCCCAGGTCGTCCGTCGCCGTCGATTTGGAGTCCAAGTGTTCGCAGACCACTCGGCTTTTCACGTTCGCAACCCTCGATGCACGTGCTGCACGCGCAAATTCACGCCCATTATCAACCTCATCCCACGCACGCGTTGCTATCTGTGTGGCTACTACGTCTGTGTGTCCTGCGCATCGTCTGAAAAGATGGAGACGTACAATGGTCGAGTAGCGATGATCATGGTCTGCACTCGCTGTGTTAAGAGCGTAGTCGCCTGCAACTACGAGCACATGTTGAGTGTGAGACCCGGACCGGAGCATGTGCTTCCTGATGAAATGTCCACCCCTCGCTCCACACGCACCTTTGATACGTCCAGCACGGCCAATTCGGAGTTGTCGGGGCTCACAGAATCCTCGTCCAGCCAAAAACTCGGAGATCTATTGACTCAAGTTGTATGTGACGACTCGGATCAAGTCACTACTGGGCAGCGTCGCGCCGCATTTTTGGTTCTCGAGCAGCTTCTACTTATTGGTCAAGAGGAAGCACAGACTCAAGCTGATAAAAACGCACAGCTTCTCAATGCTGCGAGTGAGCGTCACCAACCTAGCGAAGCGGCCAAACAAGCCTTAGATGTTTCGAAATGTCCTAAGAATCTGGATGCGTGTAAGTTTGCAAGTGCTAATTCTCGCCCGTACCCGATGATGCCGGCCCTGGTCCAGACTGAAGAAGAGGCGAAGGAGGCTGAGCCTGAACCAATTATCTACCCCATCCCAGCCAACGAAGACGAACGATTGGCGGCTATCGAGCACTTCCGCCTTCACGACGTTGCCAATGTTTCAGAACTGAACGTGATTTGCTCGCTTGCTGCGGCAGAAATG